CCCTACCTCCTCTCTCTCTCTCTCTCTCTCTCTCTCTCTCTCTCTCTCTCTCTCTCTCTCGAACGGTTCCCTTTTCAACCCCATAATTGAAGTAGTACCAGGGGTTTCACTCAAGGTATACAAAATAATTTTTTTAAAAATCCCTTCCCAAAAGAGCCTACCAAACTTTGCGAATTCCCCACAATCACTAGAAAGTATGAAAATTACAAATACAGTGTCTTCCACTAAATAACTTTTAATCACAACTTTGCAATGAAGAGCGTTGCTCTATTACAACACTTTCCAATTCACAAAACGTGCTGAGAAAAATAAAAGGCAAATATAATAAAGGATGCATGAGTTTGATGGCTTTGAGAAGCCGATTTAATTCTCAATCACCGTGAGATTGCCGCAACGGTTTCGGTACAACCCTTGTTACCACTCTTATTCGATAGCGCAAGAGGGATGGCATAGAATTATCATGAGAAGCATAAACAACATGCCACACTAACAAATACTCACACATCATATATTGGCCAAAATGAACCTCACATGGGACACAAGACCATGTGAGCATTAAACGGGAGAAACATGGTCAAAACCATCTCAAACGATGTAGTATGGAAGCTAGGATGTGCTCTAGGTGTTCACGCACCATATGGGATCAAAGCGCCACAACCCAATGTTCAACACACACCTCAAGCTTACTGTTATGGATAAAACGGAGCCTGATTTACAACAGCATAAAAGATATAACAATTTGGAAAGATTAAGATCAAAACCACGCCATGGATTCATACCATATAGGACTTTCAAATGGTATGATAAATGAAGTTCAAAAGAGAACAAATGAGATTACTTAGCTTACTGTAATAGGGATTTACAGCAGCAGTGGGCCTTAACTTACTGTAATGGCCATTTACAGCAGCAGCACATCCACCCAAATGGAAGGTAGGTGCATGGCTAACCTTCAAGTTGGACCTTCATGGTGGGATGAAGACTACTATCCTTTTCTCTAAGGAGGCTCAACAACTCAAGAGGAAAAAGCAAGGGAAATGAGAGTGGGGAATGTGGTCTCTTAACGAACAACAAGTGGGAGAGAGAATTGAGTTAATGAGGTAGGGTAGGACACCCTTTTACAAGAGGTTTAAAGTGTGGACTTTATCATAGATTAGATCTTGGCCATCCATTGAGCAATCCAAGAGTTGAGAGAAGCTAAAGACCTAGCCTTATCAATCACCATTGGTAGCTATCATGTGAATGGTGATGATCAAACATACCTTTATCACCATCTTATCTCCTCTTGTCATTTCAGTCTTTCACTTTTGAATTAGGGGCAACTTGGACTCCTCTCCACGAATAACAAAAGAGAATGCAGGGTCTGAGACCCAAAATTAATACACGGGCAAAAAGCTCAAAGTTAAAGCACAAGCGATAATATTAAAGGAGTTTGAGATAAGTTCCTAGGAAAGGTACTGATGTATAAGAATCCTAATTTCATTTTGGAACTTGGACAGCATTGCTGACCATTACAATAACCTCATACTAGAGGATATTGAAAGGTAGATGTCATCAAATGGGTCATGAAGACAGAAAAGGCATCAAAACACCCAAATAGGGTGAAACTTATGTTCTCTGGAAGCAACCTGCATCAGCATCTCTAAGCAAGCAGAAGGTGATCTTGTCTAAGTTCTTCATGGGCTCTCACACAATTGAAAGTATGAACTACAAGCAATTAGTTAGGAGGGGGGTCAAGAGACCCTTCACTATGGGGGACGGCATAAATATTCCCAGAGATTTTTTACCATATCTGTGGAGAAGCAAGCAAATCTTCCGATTACTCGCGAATAGATGTTACACACTAGGTGCTTTCAGCTAAGGATTTCTTCCCCATGCCTACTTGAGAAAATGCCCCATCATCTCTGTTGTATATTTCAGCTTCTTCAACTTGTGTCAGAGTTGAAGCTATTACTTTATCGTACATATTTCAAATTTTAGTAAATTATAAGAAAAAATATCAATTTGATCTAACAAATGTGCTCCCTTTAAATTATCTAGCAGATGCTAAAAGATTCTCTATAACCCTAAAAGCAGTACATTCCTAATCCTATGTGTAGCCATTGTTCTCAAGAGAAATGTTATTCGTCCTTAGCAGTTTTATCAGGTATAGACAAACTGAAATTTTTAGCCAACCCCAATTAATTGGGATAAGGCCAAACAGAAAATTTTCTTGAACCAACTCATGTACCACAACCACAAGGATAACCAAGTGAACCACATAATAATGTATCAAACCTGCACTTTTGAATGAAAAACAACAAAGAAAGTCAGGATGGATTCTACACCTTGAATATTCCACTAATTGAAGTCAGGAATATAATCAAGTATTACTGTTTGCTTCTATTTGTAAACATAACTTCAACTAAATTTCCAATACAACCACTATAGAAACCATATCCAGCAATTTCAAAAAATGAAGAAAGCAAAAATAAATGAATTACAATTTTAAGTAAAAGAACTATATGAATTTTGTAGGATAAAATATTTCCAGCTACTAATTTTATGAAAGTTCCCTTCCCAAGACCTACTTGTACTGTCAACCGCCATAAGGAAGTTTACACAACCAAATTTGCAAGCATGTCCATATAATATCCAAGGCCAAGTAGAGAATCATCCATTTAAAAAAGAAGATCAGGAGAAAGTACCTTGGCACTATGTTTGTCAAAGTGATCCAATGCATCATACAACAAGGCTGCAGGTAAGGTGCTCCCAATTTTAAATATAGACAAAGTAGAGTCAGTCACTCGTTGCAAGAATTCCATACTCGAATTTGAGAGGATCCTAACACCATCACACTCAGGAATAAGGATAATCGGTTCATCATACGAGTATTTGATTGCATCGCTACCAGATCCCACCATCAAAAGTGTGTCATCCCAACAAAGAAGCACACCATACAATCCACACCATGTCAAATGCTCAGGGGGGAGTGCTGTCTGCAAAAAAAGATGTGCATATACAATAAGAATATAGTGACTTCTACTATTATAAAAGATGGGGAAAACCCAGGCTTTTTCTTCCTCCAGCTATTACCAAATAGCCACTATTTGCCGGCAGTTTCTACACAAGCAGGGTTCCAAAAGCTATGGAGACAAACGACTTGCGGCAGTATTCCCACACAAGCAGAGGACGATAACAGTACAAAATCTGTATAGCGGTCCATCCAAAATGACCCTTAGAGAATAACAGTAACCATTAAAGAAAAATATTCAGGGAATAACATTTGTTCTCTCTAATTACAGAGAAATGAGAAACAATACCCATCCAAATGTGGAAGTCAATTTAGGTTGATTCAGTTCAACATAATAACTAAAACCTTTTCCAAGTAGATTTAGCAAGTGAAAAGTCCAATTCCATTCATTAAGTAGTGCCAAACTTGACTCAAAGACCAGATGGACACCCAATCTTTCCACAAGTAGTATAACTGAACCCAAAAGAAAGGAGGACTATTCAAATATGAAAACTTACAAAAAAGATAACCCAAATACAAACTGCATTAAAACTAATGGTTAGAAAAAAATAAAACCAAACACAACTATTCAGTGAGAGAGAGAGAGAGAGAGAGAGAGAGAGGAGGTATACGTAGTAAGTTAAAGTAAGTAACGTCGTACGAAACGAAACGTACTAACAAAACTAAAGTAGTACTACGTAAGTTAAGTAAGGAAA